GAAATAGTCCCTAATACGGCCATAATTTGAAATACTAGCTTATACTGCACTAATTTGAAATAGTCCCTTATTAGAGATTAACTCAAATTTATAAGGATTCTAGTCATATTTCAATAGGACCCCAGATACCCCCCTAATGTTCGGGTCGTACGATACATACCCTCCCTTAACATTAAATACGGTTCCGAGTATTTACATTAGGGGGAGGGGGGCCTTTAATATTAGGGGAAAGGATTAATCATAACAAATTGTCATTGCCATCCGGAGCAGAACTTTGTGAAAGGCAGACCTTACAAAGCCGTCATTGCTGAGGTTTTACTCCAAGCGACACCAATTCAGCAGAGCCAGTGGACCTCGGAACGCTGCCGCTACGCAGCACAAGGAACCCCTTCAACCGGCTTTTTCGAGGACTTCGCCCGAGTTCATGAGCCTAGGATGGAGTCCGGAATGACTATGATATGTTTTGCTTATGAAGTCACAACATGGGGGCAAAGCAAAGCGGTGTATGGGAGCAAAGCTGTTCGGTCAGCCCGGCTGGTCAACACAGACAAGCCCAGCCCTGTATGAGCTACTGAGCAGCTACTGGCTGCTTTGACGAAGGCCGCTCAAAATCGTTTGAGACCTGATATTGCACTCACTTTAGTGATGCGTTGGCGCCCCTCCTGTAAACTCGACCGCTTTAGCATTTCTGATTCCGGCTGTTGATGTGCATGAAATCCCAAAATTAGGGGAACCTTTCTGGGGGTCTCCATATGGGGAATTATATTGTTTTAGGGTCTATTTTGGGGTCCCCCTATTTTGGGGAATTACCATTTGCGAAACCCCGATAATGACGTTGGCTCCGTCACAACTGGCAATACCAACTCTAGATCGTGTCGTGGCATAGAGATAGGATTTCCTTGTTGCGATAACTTGAACTAAGACCCTTAACAGCAACCCAGCGCACAAACATGAGGGCAAGGCAATGAAGAGCTGGGGCTGCTCAAACCTCAGATCAACTCACCATCGCACCCTTTGGGGTTGTGTTTAAGTTTCTGGGGTAAAATGAACAGGGGAAAAATGAATAACCTACAAGGGCATCGGCTATGCAAGGAACTTTGTGTGGGATCGCTCCCCAATGGTCTCCAATTTCAAGGCTCCTAGAAGTGGAGCCGGGTTCAGGTTAGTGTGTAGGGTTTAGGGTGTCGGGTTTCGGGTTTTAGGGTTTAGGGTTTAGGATTCGGGGCCTATAGGGCTTAGGGCTTCGATTAGGGTCTATCGTTTCGAGCTCAGGGTTCTTATATAGAGTTTAGGTTTCATTAAGTTTTATACTAGGGTTAAGGGTTCAGGGCCTGGGGCTTAGTGCGTCAGAGGTGCCGGCCAGTATCCCGACGGCCCAAGTACGCCTGCACTAAGAACTTCTTCGGCAGATTCGGAGGTCTCATTCAGCGTCGTGCACTCAGAATGGTTTTTCCATTGATGGTCGCAAGCAGTCTTGGGATTTGGGGCTCAGGACTTACAGGAACAGAGACACGAAACCAAGAGTCCCTTCTCCTGTAGATTCGAGAGGGAAAGTACAGCACCACGTGTGGTTGAGTTTTGCTAACATTAGTCCATACGGTCCAAAAGTGGTCTATATACCGCCACTCTCTTTTACTGTTGTCCTTGGAAAGACCACTGAGCAAGTTCCAACGAAATGGCACAAAACGGCAGGTGATTGACAAACGTGCCTAGATCACTCGAAAATCAAGGCAAGCACCGCATCGGATGATCCCGCGATCCGGGCAGCAATGCGTTTCGGGGCCTTCGGCGAAGCAATCAGGAGCGAGACGCTGCGTCGAATTTGGACCGTTTTGGAACTTTCCGGGAAATACCTCAAGGGCCCACAATATGTGAGAATCGATTTCTGCAGAACACCAGTCCCGGCCGGAGCTGGTATCAAACTCTCTTCGAGCCCGTGAAGGCATCTGGGTTCCGGATAGCTGAGTGCGTTATAAGGATTGCCTTGGGGGCAGTTTGAGACATGTCGCATCATGTAAAGGAATTCGCCCTTGCGCAGACTAACACTGCGAGCATAAGGACGCCATGGTTGGTGCATGATCTTCTGGAGAGTTCTGGCTGCGCTAGCATCATCCAGTCTAACTTCCACAGGATGCATGAGCTTCGCAAGCAGAGCACAACATCATGATACTCATACTGCATCTGTTCAGAGCGCAGGGGTAAGGTCCGCGGATAAGCTCCTGATTTCTTCCTACATAAATGTCTCCTTTCGATGCAGCTGGGCCCAGAAAGTTACGTGGAACCCGCGCTCTGTACATGGAATTCAGGGATCTCGGATCAGGATCTTGGGGGATATTTTGGGCATGCCTGGATGTGAAATGTATATTTCAGCCTCAAGACCATCCAAAATCGCTGCTTCTCAAGATCAGGGTCCCCGTCCATCAGATGCCGGCTCTAACTGCTATGACAGATTGGGGAGGGGGTGCGCCTGGTTTTGAGAAAGAGCCCAACAGTTTGCACGCAACATGTAGGAAGGCGGATCCTGTAGCAATGGAGGGCTCTGTCATTGGGAAGGGGCTTGTATTATGCCAGCAGTGCTGAAGGATCGGGAGATGCAAGGACAAATTGTTTGCATTTGTTTGGGGATGCTTCTGTGGCGTCCTGGGCATCTAGGTCAAGAACCGGAAGCCAGCCGGTGGCATTGGCTGGACCGAGCCTCATTGAACAGCACAGATTTATGACCATTCTGTGGTTACGACGGGGCACTCTCTCCATTGACGAAGCCCGTCAAAGAGGAGCGTTGCTGGAGCAAAGACGGAACGGATCATCCGCTCTAAGCATTGCAGTCGCTTGCATAGTGCTTGAAGCAAACCGAAGTGCTTGAAGCAAACCGAGAAGTGTACGATCGGTTGCACATGGCTCAAAAAATGTGTCAAAACCCCTGACGGGGCTCCTTTGTTCTGTCGGGGGTGGTTGGGGCATTTCAGACTTCGGATAGGATCAAGGTTGTAGGAAGCATTTGATGGGAGGCGTTGAGGTGAAGAAGAGATGTCTTCAGATTACCATGATGTTCCCTTCTCTATTCGAACTGCCCTGCGTCATACCCAGAACCCACTGTCCCCAACGCAGTTTAGCAGAGTAAGGGAATCCCCAAACCAACAAGAAAGAATCATCGCATCAGCACTGACAGCATCCCTCGGCCTCATTGCGATAACGACGTGTCAGCAAAAGCGCCACCTGCGAAGGTGGTCAAAATAGGGTGTTGGGCTTGGGCTGTGCTATGTTGCGCTACAGGCTAGTGCACCCATACCCGCAATCCCGGTGGCAGGTTTTCCGATCGAGGCCGCGTCCTTTTTGGTCAGGTCTACCGGCTGCCCGTCAGCAGCTTCTGGAATTCTTCCTTCGCCGTCTTGTTTTTGCAAACAATCCATTCTTCTGCGGTTCGGCCATACTCGTCCTCCCATTCTACCAATCACACAAATCTGATCTGACAATGCCTGGTCTGCAGCGCTAGAAATGACTCCTCCATCTTGGGATTCGCCCCCAGCTTGAGCAGGAGCTTCGCCACATCAGGCTGACATTTCCAGGCTGCCTGCGCCCAACGTACTTCAATCTTGGAAGTGCTCGAGTGGGCAACACAAACGCCAAAAGTGAACATGTTCCTGCCTCCATCAAGAGTGTGCGGCGGTCATCATCCTCCTCATCCTCATGCCTGACATTCACGTTGGCACCACGTTGAACCAGCAGCTCAGCAAGATTGGCGAAGCTGATCCAGTCAATCCTTCGTCCATTTAGAAACCTCAGATGTAGACGCTTCGCTTCTGAAACATCTGAGTAAAGCTCTGACCATGCATCCAGGAAACTCGCTGGTCAACACTATCAGTGGCGGATAGACCTGCACTTCGTCCGTTTCACCTGCATTCAGACATGCAAGACTCGCAAGATGGTGCGGGCGAGGTCAAGCAGGTGGAGTTGTGCACGGAAATGCGAGTGAGCAAGGTGGTTGATGTACATGCATATGCTGATATACTCGCACCGATCCATTCAAGAAGCTGGGTCAGGGGGCCTAGGAATCTAAAGTGAGATTTAAACATGTCGCTCTGCACGTCAGCGGCACAGTTACTTCAGCATCATGTCTTGAAGGCGTGTGCATCAAGCAAGGAAGCTGCGCAGGCACATCGCCTTTCTCATTGGGATCTGCTTCGAGATGCAATAATATTGGCACTGCCCCGAGGTTGCCACCGCAGATGGCCTGGTAGGGTTTAAGCAGCCTAGAGCCTGTCTAGATCAAACAACTCCAAACTTTTGGAAGATCCTTTTGCACTTACTACTGGCTAACGCATAAGGCATCGATACGCAGACTGGACTTCAGGAGCTAGTAGCTGGATAACACGTCTTGGACATACAGCCAGCCAACAACTGACCTCTTGCAAAGCTCTAGGCGAGCTTCAAGAGCCAGAATTGAACGTGACAGCTTCATCCTGAAACCCCAAACACACTTGAAGTCGGCAGATCTCGTGTTACGAGATGCCCTCCCCCTGCCATTGGACAGACCCCTGTGCCTGCACCAGTGCAGTCCGTTTCTCACATCTCTCCGACTCCTCAGTCTGCACTGCGCACTCAAGACACATCAGGAAACTTGCCAAGCTTGGAGGCAGAGCTGATAACACCTTATTATTAAGTGGCTTGTTGCAAGGTCTGCTGACCATTGGACACTTACCAGCTTGGGCTACAATCAAGCCCAGCTTCCGGGAGCGACAGATTTGCTCCAGCCATCACCAAGGTCGTTAGAAGATCATTGAGCTTTTCGCTTGCATTGGCAATGCCGCTGTCATTGTGGCCTGTTTCACACAAACGTCCTTCTGCACTTCCGTCAGGGCCAAGAAGTCCCAACAAGGGTGTGGTGCACCTGAAGTCGACAGCAGCAACAAGCCAAGACAAAACAGCAATCAAAAGGCAAAGCTGTCTGAAGGCAGCAAGTCTGTACTCGTCCTGCGCTCTCAGGGTGCCTCTGAGCAGAACTACAGCTTGATCAGCCTGCAACCGCTATGACAATCCATGTTCAACCTGCCCAGATAAGCGCTGCACCCATCGCTCACCAAATGGTTCACGTTGCTGCCTTTCTGGATCAAGAGCTTGACGGCGCCTATGTGGCAATGCTGGATTGCATGCCAGAGTGCGTTGACATTCCTGGCATCCATCACGTCCACGTCCACCTGCCGGCTATCCAGCAAAGATGTCAAGGCATCCAACTTGTTCTCCGACGCAGCCACGGCCAACGGAGTCTCCGTGCAGTTGGTGCATTCACGGTCCCAGCATGTGGGAAGCTCTGTGATCAGCTGCCATCGGTCTAGGCGAACTGCTCTTTGCAGCAGGCCACACCGTGCTTGATGTGTCTTGACCCTCCCACAGGGAAGAGTGTGAGCAATGCGCTTGAAGATTGTTGCTTCACCCAGATTGAGGGCTTCATCCAAACAGGCTTGCGTTGACAGTGTCACTGCAACGTCATAGTTATCAGCCCATGCTTGGTATTCACCACAGTCCTGGCAAGGGTCACTACGTAGTGCACGGAAGCGCTTCTGCATCACAGGGAGGTCGAAACAGTCCCGGGCGAGCTCAACTGTTTGCTCCTGCACGCGGAATCGCTTGTCGAATGCTTCTGCATGCATGTGCTTCAGGTCGGACAGCAAGCATGCAGCGTATTCACTTCGTTTAGCGTCCATGGCAAAGTGTGGGAGGAGAAGTCCAGTGTCATTGATCAACTTGAGCGGTGGAGCATGTGGCACGACTCTGAGCGGCAAGGCCTGCTCCTCAGCGTCGGTCTCTTCCTGGGTCGTGGAAACTGCAAGCTGCAGCTCTCGTGTCAACAAAATGTCTGCAGGCATGGATACAACGAAGACATTCCTGATCTGAAATTCAGAAGTCTTCTTCATGGTCAGGACTTGCACGTTTGAGTGGCCGTCTTTTGAGCCGGCTGCAATGGCCGGCTTGGCCTCGGAGCTGCTGTCGTAAGGCAAATCCGAGAGGATGAGCCTGGCGAACTTTCCACTCACATTCACGTCTTGGAGCCAATTCACCACGTCCTTTCCCGCCAAACTTGCTTTGCTGCCGGTGGCCCTCAGCTCATCCCACGACTCTGAGCCCTCCTCGAATTCGCACTCGCGGACGAAGACACACAGTGAGGCGTTGCGCAGCACAACTTTCTGCTCCTTCGAGCACTCGCTGCCAAACCATGCGCCTCTCACGCTCTCTTCGCCGCAGTGGCATGTGTCGGAGTACTGCACAAGGTGGGATCGGCAGGCACCGACAGATGGGTGCAGGGGAGCAAAGCAAACAGGCCGCAGCACCACCTCAAGTGTGATGTTGCCTCCTTCCTTGAGTGTAGGGACATACCAGTCAGCATTGCGTTGCTGATATAGCCAGCGGCGATGCTCCTGAAAAGCAACGGTGCCCGCAGGAACATCAACCTGACCCAGGAGATTGAGCGAAAGAGCCTCACCCACGCGCACCACATGGAAGATGTACTTCGTAGTTGCCAGTGCCATGCAGCGCATTGCAAAACATACGTTGTTCGCAACTTCCACCGTGATGCGGCTGTACAGGGGGCCGGCTGGCAGATTCAGCTGATGCTCCCCAGCGACTGCCTTCGCACCCTCTCCTGCACCTGGGTCACCTTTGCCTTCGCGGCTCCGGATAAAGAGGGGAATCGGCTCGAAGTCCTCGGGGTCCAGCTGCGGGTGCTCCAGCTTAAGGTGGATGGCTTCCGTGGTGTCTGAACCCTCAAAGAAGAAGGTGACGGAATCAGCATCGTCATGTAGCAAAAGGGTGTTCTGAAGAGCTGTGGGCCCTGCCCAGTACGCCAGATGTCCCTTGCTGAAGGAGTAGTCGAGCAAGGTGCCTTGAGCACAAAAGCTTTGGTCCAAAGCAAGCAATTCAACAAAGCAGCTTGTTGCAGAAGCCTGTTCCTATGACAGAGGCGCCTTGCATCTGAAAGACATCCAGGATCAACATCGCCAGAGTGACCAGGCCAACTGCTGCTGTGAGCCACGCCACAAGGCTCACGGCAAGGGCGCGGAGCTCCTCAGATTACAGCACTGCCCGAAAGAAGCACAAGCTTGGCGGTCACCGAAACAAGACAGATTGGGTCACAAGCGTGCTCCTACAAGGTGAAGCGCTTGCCTGCTGCTGGACTCTTCCTCGAATATGATGTGGCTGCTTAATCCAGCCAGCGAATGAAATTGCCATTGGCAAGATTTCAGCTACATGTACATGAAACAGTAATAAAGTAAACAGCAGTCCAAGGCTCTCGGGCAAACGAGAGTTTCTCTGGCTTCCTGTCAGAGGTTGGCAGCTTCTCCATCTTGTACTCTGTGAACTCGCAAGAAAGCTGAGGATATCTTCTGGAGCTTCGCAGAAACCGACGGCAACAAGCCCAGCATTGCGGCGAACAACATGATCACCACAATCACTGCAAACTTTTCTCTGGCAAGGCTCTTGGCAGGTCGCAAACGTTGCCTATGCTGCTCCAGCACCTGATCGCAGCATAGGCCCCATTTTGCCGTGGAACATACCTCGAACACGACCAGGACATGCACGCAAGAGACGCTGCCAGCAATGACACACAAGATGCTTACCGGCACGATACTGGCATACTGTTCCAGCAGCACCCATAGGGCGGAGGCATGGCTGGCTGCTAGGATGAGGAGCCTTCTGGCAAGCACACTGAGAGGGATCATCACCTGTGAATTCGCCCGATACGGAGCAAGGTCGGACGCTACACCCAGCACTGCTGGACGGTCCTTTCGTGTGTCATAGAGAACAATCCATCCTTCCGGATCCAGGAGCCGACCCCAAACCACCCGCGAAACACCAGGAAGCACTGATGCATAGTGGGCTAGTCGCTCAGGGAGGTAACGGGCAATCCCACCCGCCATGCATTTGATTTCAACCACAGCAACATCCTGGCCCGCATCCAGCACCAATTCCGAGGAGCTGCCCGCTTTGTTGTACACTGAAGCATGCATGGCTAACTTGTAGGATGCAGGCAGCGGCGCCGCAAGAAGCCGGGCAAGAAGCTGATTATGATTGTCCTCACGCCTCTCCGACATGGCTAGCAGAAGCATCTGCAGCAGTAGGAGGCCGGCTTTGCAGCTCAGGAAGATGATGCTAGCCAGAACCAGCACCTCTAGCATCAGAAGCACTCGGTGGGGCACGGAACGCAAAGGGTCCAATGCTGGATCCCAACCGCCCCAGACATTGCAGAAGCGAGGTGGTAGGGGGCTAAAGGTTGCCTTTGCCACACAAGGCTGCTGTAGCTTTGATTGCCGGCTCGGCAAAGGAGGACGGCAGAGATACAGCGTCTGGCCGAAGATCTTCTGAGCCTTCGGTACCAGCAGGACCTGCCACTTGGACCCTAAGTCAAGTGGGTCGGCTGGAAACATATGAAGCTCAACCGCAGGAATCGTCTCATCCAACCCGTGGAATCGGTCCATCATTTCTCTTGCCTGTGCGGCATCCTGCTTCTTCACTATGCTGATACCTTCGTTGATCTGCTTGACTTTGAAACGCTGCTCCTGCTGCAGCCTTTTGGCTTCAATGGTGGAGGGGACCGTCTGCAGCTGTACGTCTTCTAGCTCCTCGCGGCATTCTGACTGCCTCGAGAGAAAGAACTCACGAGACTCCAGCAAGCTGAAGTCTGGGTCGTCGAAGATCACCGAGCTGATGTCAAAGCTTCTTGGACTGCTCCTGAGTTCTGACGCCTATGGCCCTATGGTGGCTCCCTTCGGTCTCACGGCCCTCCTCAGTTACTGATGCTGCTGCTAGCACCCTAAGGTAGCGGTCCATCGCCCTGGTGCTCCCCGCCCACGTTCGGCTACCAGAGCATCCATGTCCAAACTAAATAGTCACGTCCCTACCCCAACAGCATTCAGCTACCAGAGCATCTGTGCCCAAACCAATGTTAGTATAGGTGCTCCAACTGATTTCGGCTATCAGAGCATCCATGCCAAAATCATAACGACGCCCATCATCTAAGTGCATTCGGTTACCAGAGCACGTAAGCCCTAAGCATTGTAATGCAAATGTTCAAACGCATTTGGTTGCCCAGAGCATCTATGCTTCAAGCATCATGACGCCATATGACATACATGTTCTCAATAGATTCGGTTACAATGGCATCCCTTCCCAAACTGTCAAAGAAAACATGCGGCAAAAATCCACATTGTCCTAGAATGTTGTTGAAAAACAACTGGTTGTTTCGCGTACGTAGCTGGGGATTGTCTCTACGCCAGGCAAAGCTGCGCCTGGACGCAAGACGACTTGGCGAAGGCTACACGAACTTATAAGCACTCCCGCAGCGAAAGCTGCAAAGGCAAAAATCACCAGTCGTCAGCATGTCGCCGAAAAACATACATTCTAGGACGTACCCGGGAAAGGTTCCTACAAAGTGTTGCGACTGCCTGGTGCCATGTCTTGGGGCAAACCAGAGCGATGGACCCTAAGATCTGGAGGAACTTCGGTGGGGCAGTGGCATGCAGAATAGAACATGGGGCTGCCACACCCAGCCATTTAGGGCGGTCCTAGCTTCTGGCAGCGTGGGCTGGCTCTCCAGCTCTCTAGATTGCATTGGTTGCAGCCGCAACATCCGATGATAGCCCACAACTATGGCTGCAAGCAAGAGGCGGCCTGGTTTCAAAGGCACACTTCTCCGCAGCGGCGTGTGGCAGATCAGGTGCCAGGCCAGAATGTAGCCGAGAGGGTCGTGTTGCGCAAACATATTGTATGAAGACACAAGGGAAAATGATAAACCAACGCATTGCTGAGCCGAGCTGGCTGGACAGCAAGAACCTAGATGCTTTAAGGTTTGGGTTTGGGGATTTAGGGATTTGTCTTAGGCTTTAGGGTATTGGGTTGGGAGCCGCGCTGGTTTGCCAGCGAGATTTTTTACACCTTCCTTCTGTTTCTCGAAGCCCATTGGCCAACAACAATTCCAAACAGCATCAGCGCACGAGAATTGTGTACAGATTGCGGTTTGATCATAGTTTGCCCAACGCCTCGAGTCGAGCCCCAAACAGTTGGGGGTCTATGGTGCTGAGCGTCCAAGTTGGGAGCTTTGTTTAAGGGGCTCTTTCAGCGAGCGCAAATGCAGAAAACCTATCAGCATCTCATGCCATGATTTCTTTCCTACACCTCGCGGTGATTGCTGGATGCTGCAGGCCTTTGTGGCTGGGCTGACCTCTGCAGATCGAAGAGACGAAGATCCCGCACCTGCCAAGGCAAAGTTGGGGCCGTGCCTTCGCTGCACTTCCTGGATGGGAGGAGACCCTGAGAGCCGAGCAAGCGGGGAGACAGCAACGAAAGACTGAACAGTTTGGAAGGTTCAAGAAAGAGTACTGTAGGGGCACTTGCAAGGAAAGAGGAGACAGCGACTCTTGCATACCGTCTTTTTTCCTCGAAGCAGAGCCCTACCCAGGTCAGGGATTCGGCTTTGTGTGCCAGAACCATATCTTGTCGAGGCTCAGCCGCCTCTTCTGCTCCGCAAGCTTCTTTGGAAGAGGGGGCTTCCTCGGAGAGTCGCTGCATTTCTTGTCTGTGTAGGTGTGACACACCACTTGTTGGCCCTGTGGCTTCAAGGAGTCGTAGCGAAAGTACCAGGCCTCAAGCGGGTCATCTCCTTGGCCCACCGTAGC